AAGGGAGGGTGTAGGGGGGGGGGGGAGCTTGTAGGTTATAGGTGGGTTCCACAATTCTTAGGTTGGTGATTGGAAGGGAAGATCTGTGTCTTGGGAAGACATTAGTTAAAAGGCTTAATCTACATCCCAAAAAAAGAGAAGTTCTGTGTCTTGAGGAGAGATAAGCACAAGAATATACTGTAATTGATTGAAATATACATCTCAGAGATACTATGCCAGGGACAGGAGGTAGGAAGAATCCTGTTAATGGAAAATAGTCTATTAATGTTTATAAATATGATTTCCCCAGTCCCTTTTGAAACGATTTTGGAAAAATAGGAAAGGTAGTCAGACTTCTGTCCACAGCCCTGGGGGTGATTCTCACTTCCCCTCTCTCTGTGTCTCTCCGGTGAGCAGACGTGCCTTGTGGCAAAGGCCTTAGAGAGAAAATATGTCTAGATAACCCGTGGGTCAGAGACGAAGCCAGACTAGAATGTAGTGAAGCTGAATGGAAGTGAAGACCCGGTACACTGAGACTCGCTGGGGGCCGGCTCCTGTAGCCTAGGAGCTAGGAGTGAGGGAACTGGGTCCCACATGGCCAGCCATGGCCCGAGTCCCGGCCGGGGCCTTGGAGAACACACCAGTCGCGTGCATCTGTGCCCCAAACCCTGACAGGATGGAGAAATGGAGAAGGGAATGAGACGGGACCGTGCCCCTTGCAGAGCGGGTTCTCGCTCCCTCCCCGCCCCACCCCTACCCCCGTGCGTGCACACCCTCTGGCAATCAAAAGCCATTGTGCTGTGTCACTGACACTACTTAGGGAGGAACCTGGACCACCAAACTTTTTTTTCTTTTTTGGAGAGATTTTTGCTATAGAGACAAACAGAGACAGAAAGTGAGAAATCACCCCCTGGAGGTTTGGCCCCTCTGCAGTCCCTCCTCCTCCATTCTCCTCTCAGGATTTTGGGGCACACACGCACATGAACCAGGCGTGAGTGTCAAGCCTTCAGGTCCGAGACTCAAACCACGGCTGCCTGCATCGGAGTCCTGCGATGTAACCACTGCGCCATCTGCTGGTCCCTAAACTTTAAAAAAAATACCAACTTCTGCTTTAAGACGCTAGAAGAAGAAAAGCAAATTAAAACCAAAGGATTCGTGAGAAAGGAAATAACCTGGTGACTCGAGCCCAGTGCTTAAGGGAGGCCGATCCCACATGGCTGACTGCAGTTCGAGTCCCAGACCTGGCAACTTGAGAAGCATCCCAGGCGCATGTGTGTATTTGCCCCAGATCCTGAAAGGAGTGGGAGATGGAGAAGGGACTGTGGTGTGACCATTCCCGGGCGGACAAGGGGTGCTTTCGCCTCACCCTTCTCTGTCTCTCTCTGGGAATGCCTGCGTCACCTAGCAAAACAAAAAGAAAAGTTAAAAAATGACTTTGATTTCGCATCATAGTAAGCGGCACATTTAGGAATGAATCTAAGGAGAGAGCTGTACGGTGAAAACTCTGATACGAGACTGCTGAGATTCAAGGAGCCTGGGTTAACGAGAGCTCCTGCGCTCACGGCGGGAAGACTCGGCCGGTTAAGATGCCACCTCTCCCTAAGTCGGTCTCCAGAACCACCACCCTTTTGATCAAAATTTCAGCAGACCTTCTTGTAGAGATGTGGAAATTGATTGTAAAATTCATATGGAAATGGGAAGAACTAGAATAGCCAAAACAGCTTTGAAAAGAACAGCGCTGGGAATCTGACACTGCCGGGATTCAAGACTGAAGATAGCGCTGTAACAGTGATAAGAGTGCGGCATTTGGGGTGGAGATTCAGAAATGCCTCGGTGGGACAGGATCGAGTCCGAGAAGAACCCACGTGGCTCTGGAAAACAGATTTCTGACCACGGTGCAAAGGCTGTTCATTGGAGAAAGGATGGTCTTTGAACCCACAGTGCTGGAGTAATTGGTTGTTCCTGTAAAATAAGGAGTTTTGAGCTATGTGCAGCACGTTAAAAAAGAGTATTAATAACACTCAGAATGAATCATAGACCTAATTGTGAAACCTAAAGGTATAAAACTTGAAGAGGAAATCATAGGGGGAATTTTTGTGACATAGGGTTAGGCAAAGATTTTTAATTTTTCTTTTATTGGAGAGGTTTTTGCTATAGGGCGTGTGCGCTCGCCAGACAGACAGAGACAGAGAGACAGAAAGCGAGAAATCACCCCCCAGGGATGGACACGCCACAATCCCTTCTCCTCCATTCTCGTCTCGGGATCTTGGGCACGCACGCACACGCGCCTGGCGTGAGTTTAAGCCACCGGGTCCGGGACGCGAGCTGCGGTCGACTACGTGGGAGTCCAGTGACATAGCCATTACGCTAACTGCTGGTCCCAAAGT